GCGTTGGTTTTTTTTTTTTTTTTGAAATTTCACTCGTTTTTCGTTTAATCAGATTTCTAATTTATAACGGGGCACTTTGAGCGTGCGTATTTCTTTGCCGACGGATACGTGTTGCGTGAAATGTAACTACTGTCGAGTAAAATATTCTCCTGCCTCCGTGCGTAAATAATGACAGCTTTTCGTTGGGAAAATTTGAACGTTACATTCGATCAGCTGAATCTGCCATTCGCAAACGTTTTTGCAAATTTTGTGGAAAAATTTAGTCTCTCTGTTTGTGGATATTTTTGTGTTCTTTGAAGTCGACAATAGTATTGCATTGGATGAACGTGTTAATGAGAATAATTAACGTGACCCAACTGCATTTCTTTTTTCAAAATTGAGTTGTAGATGTAAATCATCTTTTTTCTTTCTCTTTACTTTATTAGAGCTGTACGAATTTACCTTACGTTGAATAATAAATATAAAATGATTTAACACTAGAATTACCAGCCGAGTCAGATTGACACGTTACCGACTGTACAAAAGTGAATTTTTACGTAAGTAAACGATAATTGGAAAATTCGATTCATATCGATACAAATAGAAACATACCTGTAGAAAATAAATTCGGAAAGTTACGAATGATAACAGTTACCAGTATTGAACATTCACGTTTTCTCGAAAGATGCTTATGGGTCATTTTGAACCCGGTCGGTAGTTCTAGTGTTAATTATTTGGGTTTCAAGCATAATGTTGTTTTACGTTCCATCGCTGATATCGATTTATTTTAGGATTAGGGCTTGCAAGGGAACATTCCAAAGTGATAAACACCGATATTGATGAAACTTTGGTGCGCGATATTATTCAAAAAAATATTTGACACGTTTTCTTCCTTATCGACAATCGTTCACGTTGAAGAGGGGAAAATCGACTTCAAAAATAAGGGTAGTAGGCATATTTGGTCAAAATTATTTACTATCTTCTGTTTTTCAAATTTATCGTTGAAAAATCTAAAATTCGTCAATTTGTACTATTCCTCTATCTCTAATAGTTTGCAAGATATCACACTAAATATATTTCCTACCTCCAACTTTGAGGGCGATTTTCACCCCTTCACTGTGCACGATTTCCAATATAAAAGAATACGTATCGAATACTGTTGGATTATTTCTAACAACACCCTATGGAAATAATCAAGTGAGGACAAAAATGTCTCCGGGTTATTTTAAACAAAGGCACTGGGACTTCCACCAGATGCATCTGGTGTTCGTCTTCGAGTCACTCACTGCACAATGCCATACCATAACGTAAACAGTTTCTAGGTATAAGGGGACCCCAACTTTCTTTTGGGTGCCTAGAAACAGTCCTTCAGAAGATTCAATAGAGTAAAGACGTTTCCTCTGAGACCGTAAATAAAATCGTATATTACAAAGATAAAAGACTATTTAATTCCATAACCCATTTCCAATAAATACTTTTTCGAGAACTACTATGCACCAAAGTTTCGATTATTATTTCTTTTAGTAAGTACAACAAAAAAGCCACATTTTCTTCATTGAAAAGAAAGATTATGTGCATCAAACCTATCGAACTATTTTTCCCCCGGTGGCATTAGCGTGTGTTAGCGATGCCTGTGAAGAGTTGCCAATTAATAGCTAATGAGTAATCCGCTCGCTTGACAGCGAGTAGCAAACACGGCGAGCAACGAAACCAAACAGTCTTATTAATACTCGTCTGGCAAACATTTTCGGCGCAAACACTAATTAGCAGGCACGATATACTATAGGGAGGAGGCGCGTGGAGAAAATTCGCCTGGCAAAAAAGCGCGTCGGTTTTGCGCGAAGCGGACACCGGGGGCCGTTTAATAATTTACAACGCTTACGCGAGCCGGGACAAAATTTACAACACGCGACATCGGCGCCACTAGCTTTAGCCTGATTAAAGCCCAAAGTGACCGTGGCTCCTAACGGCTGATTTACGATTCACCCCCCGCAGCCGTCCGTGCACACGCTTTCACGCGTTTGCACGCACGCGCCACGTGCTCGCCACGGCGAAAGCCGAGCGTGGAGGATAAGTTGCGTTGATAAATAAACTTTCATGCGAGGATATTCCGTCTTTTTTTATTGGGTGATTAAGGTCACATGCACCTTCTGAGGTTATTAGTGACCACAGTGAGTTTATTCAGTGGTGCAGTCTATAGTAGGTGGTATAAACCAATATCTTTCAAGAAGTTCATAGCTCTTTCACTTGAATCTTTTTTTTTAAGTTTTCTGATTGTGTGTAGTTTAGTCGGTCTTGAATTTTTCCACTCTTCATTCCATGATTCTATTGTCGCTTTAGTGAGGTAATTTTGAAGGTCTTGATATAATATAGGGACATCGTTTGATTCGGACGTACTGGTACTAACTAGCTTTGCTGCTGAGTCGGCTTTTTCACTGTCTTCGATGTTGGCATGTGAGGGGATCCAGGAGTACAAAATTTCTTTTTCGCCGCAATTGAGTATTGCATTTAATTCGATAATGTTCCGTATTATTGTGTTTCTGGTTTCTAAATTTCGTAAGGCTGTCACAACACTTTTGGAGTCTGCAAAAATGATCAATTTATTATGTGCCTTTTTTTTTCGATATATTTTAAGGCTTGTAGAATCGCAAATGCTTCACTGCTGAAAACTGTGAATGGTTCTGGAAGTCTGAATTGCAAGTCTCTTTCAGGGGTGCATACCGCACATCCAGTCCCTTGTTTTGATTTTGAGGCGTCGGTAAAAATTTGTCCATGGTTTGGATATTTGCTAGATAATTCAGTGTATAAAACTGGGGTTAATATTTTTTCCTATTGTTACGAATGATATTCCGTGTTTGTTGGTGCTAAAGTGTCTCGCTCGAATCCTTGGAAACGTCAGGGACCATTTTTGAAATTATTAACGCTTTAAGCGTCGGACCCGCTTTAAGGCTCGATATGTGGACCGCCTAAAAAAATATTATATCTCTTGAACAATATTTATACGATTAAAAATCGACGCTGTGCCTGTAATAAGCACTATGTAAAATTTTTCAATAGAAATTTTCTGTTCTACGAGAGTTATTTGATTTGATTTTGCAAAAGTGCAGGTTTCTACAAAACTCGTAAATATTGCGGTGCTTTAAGTGTTAGGTCGTTGCGTGCATTAAAGATAGATGTTGGAAAAATCTAATTTGGTCGCTTTGAAGGTCTTTCAAGACGGTAGCTGTGACAGAAATTTTTAATCAGTTTGTTAACTGATTCGCCAAATGTATCAATAGTAAGTCTCAGTAGCTGCATTCGTACGACGTTCTTCTAATATTACAGCTATCTGTGCTATTAGGTCATTGAACGTGAAATGACGGATTCGTAAATGTGACTTTCCAGATCGATAAGGGTAGTCAAAATTAAATTTTTTTGGTAGAAATAAGCTACGGTTGATTTGACACATTTCTGCCAGCAAATTTTAAGTGTATTTAGCTTACTATTATAAAACACTGAATTTTTGTGATGTATTTCTCCATTTCACTTAATACGAGTTGGAGAACTTTGCAATTCCACAAGATCAATGTTTAATCGATTTTCTTATCACCAGCGCAATTTTATTTCACGTTAAATCGCTTCTTGAGATTAGAGATTTGAAGCTTTTTTAGTGTTTTCAAGTATAGATAAATACCACGTGTTCTACAGGCTTGGGATTTAAAAGTTAACACGCAGATGTTTTCGCTGTACAATAAATAAAGTACCATTCGTAAGTTTAAGTAACTTATCTTTTAGCGTGAGAATACACAATTTGAGTTTTATTGAACATTCGTAATCAATATCTTATATTTTAAATATGTTTATCAATAATATTAATTGGTTATATGGACCAAAGTTACAATGAAAGAATAAAATACCAATTGTCCAGGAAGACCATTGGCAAATGAATGCCATCAAATGCATAAAACGCGAAGACCCATATACGAGGTGAAACTGGAGTCGGTTGTCTGACTAGTGGTTGACCGAAACTACTAGTCAGCCTTTAACCGTCGAAATGTCAATAACGATGTCAGTAGGATTATTACCGGTAAAAGGAAAGCAACGTAATGGTTATACCTAGAATTCAATTAAAGTGTCACGCATGTTTCGTTCGGAACTACAGAAATTACAAATAAACGAATACAAATTTTTCCTACATTGTTACATCGAAATAACTGCTGCGAAATAACATAACTACCCTCTCGAAGCTTGCACGATTAACGAAATCGTTTAATCTTCGATTCTATATTCACCCTGGAAACACAGCTGAACCCTCTTCGTTCGAGAATACACGCTGCTGCCCAAGAATCCCTACAAATAAAAAACTTTCCTGTTGATCAAGCTTTAACCCCATATTCTATAAACTTTATTCCCGATTAATCCCGTGAAAGTAGAGCGAAGCCTAATATATCAAAGTCGAACTATTAAACAACTTTCGCATTCCATCGTATACGAGACGATCCACTTTATCGGGGAATATTTTCAGCGAGAGAGAGGGAGGCATAACTGATAAGCTTCTCAACAACCATGTCTCGCTAATAGCCCGCGCTCCCTGCTTATGCACCGTGCAATTCTCAAGCAATAGAACATATCACCGCTATCAGAACTGCCCCTTTACTACGCCGAATACACCAGCTCTGACCCCTAGCTAAAATACTTTAAACACGAGACGGTGTTCGGTTGCATAGAGAGGGAAACAAGGAAATGTGAGCAAGGGTCGTGGTGTGTCGCGAAGGAGAGCGAACAATGCCGGTGTGACAATAAATTTAGCAACGTCGCCTGACAAAATGGGAACGTCGGTTATCGTGAACGAACTATAGGGAGGTGTAGGTGGAGAAAAGGTCGGTGTGTGGGCTGTTGGTACGGTTTGGGTGTGTCGAAGTATAAAAATATACTTGGTGTAATAATCGGGAAGCAGGGACAAAACAGAGGAAGGCAGAACAGATAGGGTAGTCCAATGGAAGTTCCGGTTGATCGAGCGTTTTGCATTGCTGCCGTGACAGGGAACACGGACGCCTCGATGCTGAGCCCATTGCTGCTGGGCCTGGCAGCAACAGCAACCCTTTTGGCCCTGGCCGTAGCTGGAATCCTGGCGGCGCTCTACCGGAAGCACTCGAACGGCCGACCCGGAAGTCCAAAGCACGCTCCCATCGTGTGCGAGCCACCTAATGCAGGCGCAACTACCCCGGTGCACCCCCAGACCAAGCAGGCGGTCGATGACATCGATCCGGACATCATACCCAACGAGTATGGTGAGTCTACGGGTTTCCGATTGTTCGAAACGGCCACCAAATTACGGCCTACGTGCACACAAGGCGATCGTAAAATCGAACATATACAGATACGCGTGTGTACAGATATGTACAGCCTTGGCCAAAAGTATTAGACACCCCGTGAAGTATGAATTATTTAGGAAATTGTACTGTTCAAATGTGAAGATGAACAGTGTTTGTTAACTTTGTCAGTATTTTGTTGGGCCATCCTTTGCCTGCATTTGAGAATCACAGAATACAGCCCCGGCCGAAAGTATTAGTCACCCCATGAACTATGAGTCAGAAATGTTTTTGTATCATTAGGAAATCAAACTTCAAATATGAATATAATCAATGTTATTAACTTCGTTGGGCCATCCTTTGCCAATATTTGACAATCACAGGCAATTTCTTTCTGGCCTTTACCCTATTCTTCTAAAAACAGAATTAACTGGCCTTAATTCACTCTTTTTTGGCACACTTCAATAGAAGCAAAGATCCACAACATGTAGACAATAGATCGCTCACTTGTTTTACAACCCGCTATAAACCTTGTCAACCGTTTTAAAAGCCTGTAGAAGTGCCCGACAAAGGATGACGAACAATAGGAAGGCTTCAGAGAAATAGTTTTTGCAGTAAGTTGTAATAATAAAGCTACCTAATACTTTTCAACAAGGCTGTACATCTACTCGCACACAGGAGTGTACGTGTGGCGATATGCAGAGCAATTTTATTTCATTTCATCGCGATACAGAGTTGCCTGGATATCGGCATGCGATATTTTAATCCCTTTTCGTACGTAAGTTACGACTTTATTGGCTGTTTAATTGTACGTCTTCGCTTCGATCGACGCTCGTAATTCGTGTAAATGGAACGTTCACCGGACAATTACAGCTCGGCTCGCGTGGCTATGCACAGCAGCACGTTATTTCTTGTATTATCGACGTGACTAATTCTATTTTTGTTTTAATCTCGTTGCCTTTTTAATAGTCGGTGGTTCGAACGCACGAACTGTTTTTCGCGCGTTTTGCGGTGAATTTAACGGGCTTTTTTTTCATTGGTGTTGCAAGTATTCTAAGGAACACGAGACTCTTGAAGAACAATCTATTTGAAACATTTTTCTGTAACTGATTTCAATCAGTTTGCAAGGAAAACGTCAAGGATTTAACCTATTTTGTAACACCTATTTTAAAAAATATAATTCTCTCGAATAATTAGATAAAAGACATAATATTGTTGAAAAAGGAACAATTTTACGACACAGTTTCTTCGTGAAATAATTGTTGCAAATTTTTTAACGACGTTTGATCGATTTTTTAATATTTTTGAGGATTCGCATTATACTTTAGGACTATTAATCAGATTCTTTGTTTGAAAATAAAAAGCACGTGTTCTACTTGTTTCATCATTTTTGCACTGTTTGTGAAGCATTGGAAGAGTTACAATGGCATTGTAAATTTCTTTTCTATCGTGTTTCTCTTGCAATGTGTAATTCGAAAAAATAAATGATACAACAGAGTCGCGATATCTTTTTAAAATATTCAACTTATACTGTACCCGAAATTTGATAAAACAATCAATACTGAACGAAAAAGTTGTTAAAACATAAAGCATGTTTAGTATTGATCTCGATTTTCGTCGTCGAAATTTACCTTTCTTGCATTTAAATTTCGAATAAAGGCAGATCTAATGTCGGAAAAATCTGCAGTAACGAGAGGGGAAAAAATCGGCACAGACACGGCTTTCTCTTCAAATTTGCACGGATGTTAATAGCGGACTGCTTTGGCGTACTTTTTCCATCAAAGATATTTCCGTGTCACGCAGCGATGAATTTCGAAATGCATTGTCAGGTTAAATTGATACGCTTCGATTCACGTTAATAGATCGGAAATGCAATGCCTTTATCGACAATGAACAGTGATCAAATGTGTGTTCATCAAACTTCTACATTATTATCTCAACACTAACGCGAACGAGCGCGAGTTCACTGACTGTCGATAGCTTTGACGCGCGATCGTTGTCGAAAGAAAATTGAACGAAATTATACAGAATAAAGGAATTCTCAATTTCTCTCTTACTCCGTTGTTCAACGCGTATTATTGTTTTCGGATAGAAATAACCGACGTGAGTTATATCTCAATAATTCTGGAAAATCTTCTCTTATTTTTCCATCCGATTTCTTTGTCCTGCTTTCGTGATCGATTTTTTTTTTATTTCGTGGAACTTGAATTATTTCGAATTTATGGATAAAGAGAATCGATTTCCTCTGAATTATGTTTCGAGATATCAAATTCTGGGAAATAATTTTTCATCTCGAATTGCACGGTTTTCCAATCTTTTTCCGATCCAATTTCTTCGTCCTACTTTTGTGATTAAGTAGTTTCATTTCCTAGAATTTCAATTATTTCAAATTTCATTTCTCAAACTACGATTACTCGTACTTCGTGTAATTTCTTTCCTTCGCTGAATTTTTTCGAGGACAGATAAAAATAGGCTGGAACTTTCTTACCGGAAGGAGAAAACTTCCCCGAAAGAAGCTGTAGGCAGACGTCATTTCTGCGAAAGGTGTGTTAAATAAAACAGGTTCTACACTTCTGGCCTATTGTCCACGTAAAGAGACCGCTCTTGTCTAGATTTAATCGACTAATCTGCTTAGTGGACGCGGAACTTTGCACGGCTTCGTTTGAATCTGTTCACAGAGAGAAGACCCTTAACGTACACCCCGATATACAAGACACCGCCGCAACGTAGAAAGAAGGATCGAAGTACGGACGAGGCGATCTCGCCTGAGAAAAGGCCAATTGTGCAGCACGGTTTGGATCTTCCCCCGGACCCGATGTTGTCCGACTGTCTGCCAGCGCCGACCATAAACTATCCCCAGAATCACGTGTCTCAAGTGAAAACTTACAGCAATCCACCCACTATGGCGGACTTCAAGCAAATGGCAATGGACGCTTATAATCAACGAAACAACCAAAACGTAAGCTTTCTCGGATTTGTATTTTGTGTGTGCAAAGTAACGTGTTTTTTCAGGGAATACAAACAGAAATAATTGGTAGAATTTGTTACATTTCTTTTTTTTTATTTATGAAGAATTAAGCACCAAACGTGCTTCGATACTGAAATTGTAATAGAAGAATGTTAAAAAGAGGCTTAGTTACTGAAAGAGATGTAACGTGTAAAAATAATTACGAATAATTGAGGAAAAAGGAAAATCGTACATGCACTGTATTGAATAGCGGAAGTTTATGAACGATTGTATTAGGTCATCTCATAAATAACGTTGTTTTAGAAGCTCTGTTTCAGTACAAAATTAATACGATTTACATTTACTATTGATCTCTATTCAAAATTCTCTATTTTAATTTTCTATTCAAAAAGAATTCTTTACTCTTGGATTAGAGAACTGATCTAATGTTAACTTTAAGTGAAGTTTCTGCCATTTTAAATGATTTCTAATTAACGAAATAAATGGTAATTCAATGGTCAGGGGAATATGGTAGATGTGGTATTAATTCCCAGTTCAATTGCTCTTCTTCTATTTTTGTTTTCTAAATCTAATCATTCAGCAATAAAATATGGACCAGTGGGAAAATACACGTGTGGAAATTAATTCGGTACTTTTTCTTACAAACTTCAATTTTAATATTCAAAATAATCTCCATTATTCCTTGATGACGATTCTTCCATTTATCGGGTACCAAACGAATTCTCTCTCTGAGAAAATATGGCAGCTTCGAGTTGACAAAGTATAATTGAAATAATCAAAAGTTAAAACTGAAAAGTTTCCGTGATACACAAGAAATAAGAAGATGCGCAACAAAAATCCTTGGAAACTAGGTTATATTTATACAACAACAACGCGAACGGAGTTAAATACCTCACAGAAGCTGAAATAAACATATTCCGCATCCGACTTTGGTCAATATTAACATTCCAATCGTGCCGGTGGATTCCATTGAAACTAAAATAAATATCCTCAAATCTGTCAACGTAAAAATACCGAAATATCAAACACAATGGTTCATAAGTCACCGACATTTACGACGCAAAAATTCCACAGATAAAACCGTGTAAACAATTGCAAAGGAACATAATTTAAGGGACAAACACTTTCAAAAGATCCTCGTTCTTCCTTCCACGATCCTCTTCCTCCTCAGCGACAGAAAATAATAAAAGCGTCCGCGAATCAAGATAGCCGATATCACGGAAACGAGTTAATCGATCGCTCGCACGGACGTATAAATCATTCCGACAATTAGCCTCGTAAACTCATTGCGGTCTGTAAATTTAATCGGGCCCCTTTTTTCACGATATCTAATGGAGTGTATTTAGTCGAAGCCGTTTGATTAATGAGAAGCAATTAACGCTTCCCCTGGCCACGGAACACCAGGCATAGAAGAGTGGCTGGATGGAGGGGTAATAGGGGAAAGCAAGCGAATTACCGAACGAACGAACGAGATCGCGTTCCTTCTTTTTTTTCGCCCGGAGGAAGTAATACAATCGATCGTCTCTCGTCGACGCGACTTCTCTTCTCTATCGCAGCCAATCTCTATCTCTCTCTTCCTCTAGCACACTATCTCTCGTAACCAAACTGACAAGGTTGTTTTAAATATTCGAAGTTTCGAAGACGACCACGGGGGACCGGGACACGAGCCAAGTAAGAGGGATCGCATCGCTTTAATATGCGCCAGTCTTCCACTTTAACTTTTCCGGTTTAGCGAAGCCTTGGGTTATCTGGGCGCTTCCGCGAGTTTAATTACGTCGAAGTTTCCTCGATAATTCGAAAGGGCCAGTCCCGATGCGCGTTACTCTTCTCTCGTCTTGAACCCGACTTCCGTTTCCCTTCGACGCTGCCCACCCCCCAGTCGCGTTCCATTAAGTGTCTGAATAATTTTAATACCGATCCACCACCCCCCACCCACCCTTCCATTACTCGCCCTCTCTTCATTAACTGACCCGATATTCCCTCTGGATGTTTTCGCTTCGGTGTTTTTGTTTTCACCGAAATTACGTAACCCGACGTGGTTTCCGATTATTTTCGTCGTCGGTGTGCGCCGCTCGCTCCACTCGTCGACTGTTCCATTATTAATTCTGAACCGAAATTTGCAATTTTCACAAGTATCGATGCATTTGCGTTTTTTTCTTTTTTTTTCTTGGTGCTTGTACTTCTTTTTTCCAGTTTTGCGGGGTGGAATTGTTTAGTTGCCCTTTAAACGAAGGGTCGGGATGCTTTTGGGGGATCATCTCAGTAGTTTAATTTTGAGAACTGTGAAGATGCGGATAGATTTTCTGAGAATGTCAATTCAGGTTTTTAATGTGAATTTGCGTTAGGAAACTTTCTTCAAGTGTTGAATCGCGGTATTATTGAAAGAAATTGAATAAAAAATAGTTAGAAAAGATGTAAGCTTCAGGAAGGTGTCCGTGCAATCGTAATGTGCCCTATTTTGAAGTGATAATCACCGATTTTGATGAAACTTTGATGCACAGTAGTTCCCAAAATAATACTCGACACGTATTTTTTATTTTGAAAATCGTCCACAGTGGAGGGGTGAAAATCGTCCTCAAAGTTGGAGGTAGCAAATATATTTAGTCTGATATCCTGAAAATTATTGGTGATAGAAAAACAGTGTAATTTGACGAATTTCGTATTTTTCAACAACAAATTTGAAAAGTAAAATATAATAAATAATTTTGACCAAAAATGTGTATTACTCTTATCTGTGAAGACGATTTTCACCTTTTCAACGAGGACGATTGTTAATAAAAAAGAAATACGTGTCAAATAATTTTTCATGTAAAAAATTTTAGGCTACTCTCAAAATTAGTAGAACTATTTCATAGCGGTAAAGACACGCACGAAGTGTCAAAATGAAATATTGCAATAATTCGGTCTTAATTTTCATTTTATTAAAAGGAAAATATTGCAAAATTTATGTAACGTATTAATAATCAACAAGCTATGTAAATTTGTTATAAAAGTTCAAGTCACTTTTCATTCTACAAGAATTTATTTTCAGTCTTGAGCATGTATTGAAATATTTTTCATGCATTGAAGGAAAATGGATTGCTTTCATGTAACACGAAAGCATGTTACATTTACCTAGATAGCTGCAGCGGTAACTCAATTAACATTGAAGAACGTGGTAGAAAAGGCACCAATTTACCTTTCAGAAAAGTCTCTCAAAACGCGAACTTACCTTCCATAACATACTTAACGTTTTACGTTCCAGACGTAATTAACTGAAACTCGATTTTAAGCGAATGTTTACATCTGCCGGGGAGCGATAAAGAAGATAATTAAGTTCTTCTCTGAACGTCGTAAAATGGTTAAGTGTTAGTGCTTACCAAATTGGAAAACTATTCGAACTCATAATTAGACAACTATTCGAACCCATAATTATGCAATTATTCCCCGAGAAGCCTGCAATTTTCCTACTTTACCTTTAATTAAACGATTTCGTTGCACTTTTCAAAGTACGAAATTTTCGAGGTTGTACAACGCACGATAATTTAAGCATTTACAAACAAAGGATATTTTTCACGAAGAATCAATAAGCAAACAAATTCATCCGTTCATAAATGTAAATCAATTTTGTAAATCAAACTTTTGAAGATTTCACTTTTATATATAAGCAAACAAATTCATCCGTTCATAATTGTAAATCAAACCATATTTTGAAGATTTCACTTTCAAATTACGTCGTGATACTTATTAACCCTTTCGCTGCGGCAGATTTCAGGCAAAATCTTTTGTTTCAACGTTTTAAAATTTTTCAGAAATTTCAGAATTGAAATTTCAAAATGTATTATTTTATTAAATTAAGGTGGAAGTTTGCAAATGTGAAAAATTAAGGTGAGAGTGTGTCAATAGTCGCGAACGAAAATTTTCAAAACGCCTTTAGGCGCCGACAGCAGTGAAAGGGTTAAATTCTATTTCCTCCAATTTTCCTATTCCCACTTCCATTCTCCTCGTTGCAATAAATAAATTATAAAAATGAACTTCAGACATTTGCAATGTTAAACTAAAGTTAGACTGTCATCGATACGTTCAGAAAGGCTCTATAGAAAATGAAGCTAGGAAGTCTAACGAGCGAAAGTTTCCCCTTGAAACGAAGACCATGTTCGATTGATTACAGGTGTACTACAGTCTCCAGAGGTCGGGCAAGGGGTTGTCGTCTATGCCGCAGAGGCCGGTCTCCTCGTCAGTCTCCGCTCAGGGGAAGTTCCACCAGCCGGAAGTGGTGACGCGCTCGAATCGAATACAAGAGAGTTGTATATAAAATTCACGAGGAGGAGAGGTCTCTTCGAGTCGAGAAACTCTGGCTGCTTCGTGAGCGTTCGTACGAGAAGCTAGATACAAGAGTGAGAGAAGAACGTCGTTTCCAGGACCGCGAAACGGTGTCGAATACTCGCGAATCGAGTTCCACGTTGCCGTCTTCCTACGGTTCACGTGTGAATTTCTAAGCGACTTCGCGAAACAACGCAGATGTTCGCTGTACAAAAAGAAACGAAAAAAAAAAACAGAGGACAAAACACAAGAAGAGGAGGACAAGCGGAAAAAAGAGAAAAGCGAAGGAAATGGTGAAAAAAAATTGCAGTTTGCCAGGGATGGTAACGAGGGGACCTGTATATCCGAATATCTTGGCAAGTTTAGTCGCATGCACGACGAGATTGGACACGCGGATATCGAGTTGCTCACAGAGTTAATGAAACGTCGACAATTAGAGAGAGACTCGATGCTTGACGGAGTGTATCGGATCGTGATAGGATCCCGTTCAATTGTTGGTTCCTTTTCTACTTGGAGATTTTTATAACAGAGTTCGTCCACGTTCACGAACGAAACGAGGAGGAAAAAAAAAAGAAAACAGGAGGAGGAGGATGAGAAGCAAGGTGGAGGAAGAGTGGAACAGTGAGTTCAATAAGAGGGAAGTCCAATTTGACGAAGCAACGTCGCTGAATTGCTAAACATACGTAGCAACGCGAACAGTTTTACTGTGTTCCCGTTTCACAAAGGCGTACACGGCCTTCGAATCGTGCGTTTTACTGTTTATATGAGATTAGTTTTTGTACAAAGATCTATTGTAAATAGGCGAAACAGCCTGGTTTCTAGTGGATAGTCGACGGATGTCCGAATTTCATTCGCTAAAAAAGTCACGTGTTAAGTCGGGAGAGAGGATTGTTCGGTCACGTAAGATAAATACTCGATGGCATACGAAATAAAGAGAATACGTTTCATCTGTTTTACAGAAACGAGCCTCGCCCACTTGTCGTCCTGTCCGAACCTTTTCCCGATCCTCTCTATTAGGAAAGGAGAAAAACGTACGGGAACGAGGAGCCGAAATTTTGGTCGCACGTGAGTTGAATACCGTAACATTCGTACGATCGCAACTGACCATCGCATTCTCCGTTTCGAACGTGAAGGGAAATCTTAGTGCAGAAGCCGCGTGCATCCACGGCGGTGAAAGTCTCATGAAAATTTGAACCGAGAGGGAAACACGTCTCGACGATTGATAGCTCGGAACCTACTCGACGGTATTGCAATTAGTTTCACGTACCAAGGCGTCAAATCGTACACCGCGCCTCTAAATAATTATTTTATAATAACACAACGTTCTTCGGGATTGTTTTAGCTTTCACGAAGATTTATTTTATTCGTTTCTTTGTCTATTCTACTCGCGAAACGTCTTTTCTCTTGATTTCCCTCTGTTCTAAACAGAGTTATTTAGACATATTGTTTGAAGTATTTTTTATTCGAATTTTTGTCACTTGTATGTGGACGTAAATAGGTATTTTTTTTTTTTTTGTGTACTATAACTCTTCAATATAGATTTTATTTGTCACTTATGTTGTTCATCCTGCGTTTTATTTCACACAGAAACTGTTTCATCAGTTTTCCCCATTCATAGTGGTCTTTGTTGCTCAAAAATATGAGGTCTGAATTTTATTTTTCGTGGTTATAACAGCACTTTATCCTTAAGTTCAAACAACTTTTCATTTCTGTCATACATATTTTATCCACTTGAAAAAATACGTTATCATCGATGAAACGACAGCTGACACTGTTATCAAATTTCGATCTCATACTCGCGATTAACAACGCACCCTACGAAACAATATAAAACACAATTTTCTAAACAAATCACTCTTTATTTTTCTGTTCGTCACTCTCACGTCTTCCTTAAGAAGATCCCGTTGAAATCGCCGAAGCTTCATCCACCGAGCATCGTATCTGCCTTCGAACAGCGAATTAAGCTCGAATGACCATCGCGAAGGTAAGTGCAACATCATATTCTTTCAAATTACCCGACCCGGTAGAAACCACTTTGTATCCGACGATGATTCGACGCGACGGCCACGGACCGTAGCTCGAACGTCGCCCCGGATGGGTCCCGCTGCAAAAGCGTTTTAAGGAAAACGGATAGCCGCGTCTTCGTTAGTTTCGATGGGCGCCTCGCGAAACCGGGCTGACAAGGACGAAGAAGAGAGGGGAGGGTGTTGGTGTGCCCTATTGGACCGGGCGCAGTAATTCAAGTATTTCTGGGGAATCCCGTGGCGCGACGGTGTTTGCATACATTGTGCACCTTCGGTCTTGCTAACACGGACTAACCCGGCTCGCCGACGAACCCTATTATTCTACGTGCCAGCCGTGTCTCTAGGGCTGTTAAGACGACCCTCCCTCTACACCTAACGTTCTCGCAGCCTCCTCCCACCTCCCACCCTGTAGCGCCTCGAACTGTCACCCATTCTACTCGTGAATACGCTGTGTAATTACGACCCATCCAACCATTGTAATCCGATGATTTTGTAGTGGATACAGATGCAGGGAACACTCGTGATCGTCGCTGCACCATCGGCAAGAGAGCGTCTATGCTGCCGCGTAATTGGACCTTCGAATTTTGAATCGACTATGTGAAACTACGTGTTTCGTGTGTTCGACTAGAGAGGATGATTGATTCTGTTCGAATAGGGGTTTGTTTGAGGGGATGGGGATATCGTCTTTGCGCACACGTGTTGATAGCTGTTTTGCACGATTGGGGGTGGGAGATTTCCGGTCGGTTATTTTGGAGGAAGGTTTTTGTTCGGAGTGTCGCGCGAACCTTGAGACAGGAAGTGTCTTGGCGACGAGACGTGGTTGATTATGCTCCGCGCGCGTGTGGTGTAGTAAAATTTGACTACATTGTCCCGATTGTGGCTTAATACAATTCGGATAGGGTTGAAATTGTGACGCGAGGCATGCTTGGAGTAACAATGCTCGGGTATTGTGTCGTATGACGTTTGGACATCTGAAAAATTAGCGAAACGGGTGTGAAGCAATTTAAATGTAGGGAGGACATATTAGATATACCGGGTGTCCCAATTTTTTTTTTTTTACAAAACTTTGCCAGTGTGTTCTATGGGTATAAGTGAGAGAAAAATGTTATACGAACATAGGTCGTTTGAAGCTTTGTTAAAAAGTTATGGGAATAACGTGAAATACGAATGGAACCATAATGGATGTGCGGGTATTATGATAGAAAATAGAAATGGATCTGCGATATGTACATCTAGTCTGTTTATGCGAGCTGTGCTTACGCTGCGAAGTCGTTGAAGGTATTGAATATGCCTTCTGCCAGCGTTATTCTTGTGTCTCGCGTCCCAGTAACCGCAAGTATTTCGTACTTTTGTTGTAACTCTTTAACGAAGCTTCAAACTGCCCATGTTTATATAACATTTTTCTCTCACTTATACCCGTTGAACGTACTCACGAAGTTTGATAAAGTTTGATCGGAAACAACTGGGACACCCGGTATGTATATGTACATTTACACTTATCGAGGTGTAATTCGGAAAACGGTTTCAGCGAAATTGTAAAGAAAATACAGCAGCGATATATTTCTTGAGAATTTCTCGTAAAAAAGGCAACCCACGCACAATTATCAAAGTGAATTGACGGCACGCAATTATTCAGGATAGTACGAATTTCCAATGCAAAGTGTTTCATTCATCGGGATAGATCGTTCGGAAGAATAGATCTCTTCAACAGACTGTCGAATATTATTCCCGCGCCCTGACGTAATGGAATGCTCGTTCTCTGTGAAAGTTGCTTTAATATTCAAGCAAATTTCCATGGGGAGCGATCGCGCGTGCCATTTCGCATTTCTGACAAGCAGTCGAACTATGCCGTATTATTTCGACGCTTTTCAACCGTGTATTATTCGGAAAAGGCGAAAAGTATCTCGAGAGACGTCCCCGATACTTTGTCTGGGAATGTCTATTATGCACACCGTGCTGGTAAAGTGTTCGATATCCATGGGCGGTATCGTTCTCTAATAATTAACGAGCTTGCGGTATGGTCATGGAATCGTAGTCTAAATTACTGCACTTACCTACCTAAATCGCCCATTAAATCTACACAGAAACGTGTATTATTTTAAGCACAGCCTGTTGTGATCGATATGAACAACGTACGCTGGCGCATAAGTATCGGCTTTACCCTGATTTGTACCCTTTGTTTAAACGCTCCTCAGATTTCCAATCATACGCTCGACTTTTTTCTTGTAATCGCTGTCAGCCTTGACACGTTTCACAAACACCGTGAACTTTTTCCCTTTTTTCTTTCGTAATTGTTGCACGTTAGGTCGTCCCGTAAGTTCGTGTCGAATTTTGTAATTTAGATCAGTGTTTCAGGGCGAATTCATTATTTATCGCATGACAGAACCGCTGTTAAAAGAAATTTTAATAATCACGACAAAATAAGTATTTTTTTTTTTATTTATTCGAAGAAATCAGCTGTGCTTGAGATAATTGATTTTAAATCGAAAGGGACGATGGTACGTGTATTTTTCAATTTTAGACGTCTAGTTAATTTACTAATTTTCATTTCTAGAGTTGCTTCAATTGCGCTAAGAAAACGTTCAAGTGTAAGTATTGTGTGAAATACTCCAATTGAAACAGTAGCTTTCAATCATCTCTGGTAATTGCACATATACAGCTAGGCGGCTTGCTTTGATGCCATTTGTTGTCTCATATTTATCCGTTAAGTTAAGGTCAAATATACTCGCTGGAATAGCCTCGATGCTATCGCGGCGGAGAATTAACTAAAACGTTCCCTGAAACGTATTAAACTGAAGCAAGATCCATCGACAGACTGATTCAATTAAAGATTAGCTTCAGCGAATTTAAGGGCTAAATGTTTCTTAATTCTTGGAACAAATTGAACCACAGCTGTGATTTATACTATTTTATTCTCAATATAATGTTTTCTTCGTTTGAAATTGCATATAGTGAAAAATAAAATAAA